TATAATCGGCAAAAATTACGCCAATTAGTATAATGAAAATCACGTGGTCCAATACTTTTGACCGGGGAGTGTACATTTCAAAAAAAAAGAGGGCGCCCCATATTTAGTTAGGAATTATGAATATTGAACTATCCATCTCATCAGCTATTGGGGCTTGGCAATATAATATATCATAAGAAAAGCTTTTGGGTTGATCATTTTCCATACAAAGCAATTATATACTGTATATGTTGATTATGCAATTCAAAGCCTCATTTTTTAAAAAATAAATAAAATAAGTCAAGCTTATCAATCTTACCAAATAAGTATTAATAATGTTTAATAAAGAAATCATTATCTGTTATATATTATCATGATAAAATAAAAGAAATTCAAAGAGTGGACTTTAGAAAGGAATCTATAAACATTGTTGAGTCCCAAGCGATTGAAGAGACAAATTATGTAAAGGAAAATTTAAAGAATGACTACAAAGTAGATAAAACAATCGGCAAACGTCCTTGAATTTGGATAATTTTATTTCCCAGTTATTAAGCTAGTTTTGTTCACATGACCATGATCGGCAGAGTGAACCAATAAAAAAATTTTTTAACCAATAAAAACTCGTTTTTTATTATTATATTATAAGAAAGTTTAAATTTTCCTTCAAAGTTTTACATCATTAGAATAAGTCAATTGTTTGACGATAAACAACCAATGAAAATCAAAAAAATTTCATCGTTGATTTATTTTACGTGTCAATTTAATTTGTCATTGAATTAAAAGTAGTTATATTTTACGGAATTCCAACTTTTCATATCACTCAGTTATACACTAAAATTTTTTCTCGTTCTTATTAGTATTTCTTTTTTTACCATTTCGAATTATAAAACGTCTGACTCGAAAATAATTTGCTTAACGAATAATAACTTTTCGAATTTAACTTAGTGTATTGGAAATTTTATACCATATATTTTGGTCAATTCACGAAAGAAATTTATAAAGTTTATTCCAAAACAAGAAATTTGTCTCGAGATATTTTTATTACTTGATTTTTAATTTTTTTTTTTTAACCCAATTCATGCCTATGCATGATGCAAGTTGGCTCCAGATATTCGAGTGACCGTAAAACGAGGTTACACGAATTGAGCCAATGTGGAGCGCGGTTTGTTTTATTTATTTCCCGTAAAGATTGCATATGAATTATTATTATTATATTTTAAACAAAAGAATGCATTACTTTTTGTATGGCCGATTGCAATATTAAATATAATCTTTATTTCGATGTACATATACACAACAAGTAAGCTCAATACGAGAAAAAACTTTACTAATATTCAACTTCAATGCCAAATCATTACAAATGTAGAATGAACGCAATGCTTTATTTCAATTACTCATTTCTGGTCTAGCAAACAAATCAAACGACTCGACTTTTCTTGAGTGTGGGATTTCGGATTTTTCCCCCTTGTTAGATTTTCAGTTTTATCTCATTGACAACTGTAAATTTAGAAATAAATAATCAATTTCTCTTAAAAAAAGTTGAAGATAAACATGTAGATAAGAACTTAATGATAGCAACGTCCAATGTTTTGTTAAATATTTACGTCGACATATAACTCAAGTGGAACTTCTTTCATATATCCGCATATAAAACCCTTTGGGAAAATCACAGGATGTTCTTAAGAAAATAGCTCCTTACATAATAAATATATATTGTGTTATTAATTTCAAGATGAAACCTGGAATATTAATCTTGTACACTTTATCTTCAATCATGCAAGAACAATGAATAAAATATTTATAAACAGTCTTGATAAAGTCAAACCATATTCCTTTTGCAGCTTTTTGTCATATTCCCCTTCCACTTAGGTCCAGCCTCGAATACTGCCTACTCGATTCAATTGATCAACGGTATCTTCAATGGTCTTTCGTTGCATTGAACCTATATTTCTTAAATTCTGCTACGATTTTTCCTCTTCTTAGTTACTAATCCAGCGTTTTCAGAATAAAGGCTATGTTTATGTAAAATAGTGAATGATAATTATATAATTACACCTAAATTAAAACATAAAAGGCGTGACGGAAAAGGCTATGTCAAATGTCTTCCAGACATTTAATATGAACAACTTTCCGGTAAATCTTATTGTGAAAGTAATGGGTGTGATTCCTTTTCCAGTAAACGGACCTTGCATTTATTAATTGATAAAAAAAAAAATCCTAAACATTCATATGCGAAATCAGCTAGAGGATTGTAATTTTTACAAAGTTGAGGGTGAGGAGATAGAGTGCATTGCGTCTATCTTTATGCGAGTCCTGTAATAGAGAATCAATTTATTATATAATACTAAAGGAATGGAATGATATCATCCACAATTTACTTTGCAAAGGTATCAATACTAGCATAGAATTTTCTTTTCGTGATCGTCTATAGTGAATTCAGATTGCACAAACTTGTCCTCAATCAATGATAAAAGAAATCCACGAGACTGAAAAATAAATGAAAGGATTTTCTTGCTGCACGTAACACTCCTGTGACATTTTACTAGACCATACAAAGGTGCCTTCAAATATACGTCTCGCCAATTTCCCAAATCACTATGTCCCATGACAACACTGCGTCTTCGTACAAAGTTCACATTTTGGCCCGATATTTAACCTCTACAAAAATCGAGAGCAAAATGATACTTATCGGTTCGTAATTAATCCCATATAAAGTGAACAATTATTATTTTTAATTTCCTCATCGATAATATGGATGTTGTATCTTCTTTCTTTGAAAAGATATGAATTATTGCTTCTATCAAACAATTAGTTTTAAACTGCAACAAAGTGGTTGGAACATATCTAGTAACAATAATTATAAAAAACGCATCATTTAATGATCTTATCTATGAACTCATAGGTTCGTTTATAAACAACACCTGAAGTAGATATAGTGGCGTCGATATAGTTAAGATTTGTTTGCAAACCTTATTGACTCTCACCATCAGCGTAAGTTGGAACAGTGGCGAATTGTGAAACAAAAGAACAGAGATGAACATTAATTGGAAGTAGTGCTCCGAAACGAACGACTCGACCCGGGTCGTTTGACCCGACTCGAATTTTTTCTCGAGTCGGGACTATCATTTTATGACACGAGTCCTAATTCAAAAAACCCGCCGGGTCAGGGTCACGTTTTTGCTATACCCGGGTGACCCGGATGATTAGGCGCGCTAGACTTTTTTTGTGTTTTTGTTACGCAACTTTAATTTGTAACAAATCAATAATAAGTAA